CATTCAGTACTAATTTCAACATTGCATTTCAAAATATAAATTAATATGTTCAATGATACATACTTCTGGAGTAGTTCAAGAACTACTACTACTACACTATTATATATTTATGCGTCAATATATACCAATTTATGTAATGAATTCTATATTATATATTGCGTGATTGTAATTCTAACTTAATACTGAAATACTATATACTATTTCTCAATGAAAATATTTATAAAGTTGCAATTATATATAAATATAAACTATATTGTTTCATTATTGTAAAAAACGCTTTAAATGTTAATACTGCATTATTTTATTTTGTATAGACCATGCATACTAAATATGAATTTAATTATACAGATTTAGCAATTATAAAAACTGAAATCTAATCTTTAGCATTTATTAGATGTTTAGCATTTATTAAACATTTCATGCAAAGTTGTTTATGTAATTTCATATGTCATAAAACATTCAATAATCTGGCGTAGTCTACAAGTCAATCAATCTTATTAATTTCAAATTGGCAATGCTTCTTACCAAATTTCAAATAAATCAATTTTCTTATTGTACTTACTATACAATATATGTTTAGGAGCTCCTAAAAATACACAAAGAAAATACGTTGCAACACATAATTCAAAGAAAAATGGTTTCTACTACAGCTTTCATTTTTATAAATACAATATTGTAGATTAAACATTTTGTTACGAAGATTCTTAAATATTTTGATTTAAATTAAATAAAGAATAAGTAGAAACATTACGCACCGATAACAACTGGAGTTTTTGCAGTTTGAAGATGTTCAGTTTTTAGATGTAATTGCAACGATGGTAGAGCAAATATGACTTCTCTTCCGTGAGAATGTTCTTGTAATTTCCCAGAGGATGCTGCTGTACTTCTTCCACGAGTTATATTACCACTATCAGACGTGCTATCTGTTCGTTCTCTTTCAACACATGGAAACCGATCTACAGCTGTTAAAGTAACATATCTTGAAATACTTTATATCTACATTATTAATTTTAAAATAAATTTATTTTCAATACGTTTATAACGTACCGTCAATTTCACTACTAGCAAATGCATAATGAAACCATTCTTGTAATGATTTAAATTGTGGTGGGAACAATACGCTACGACTTAATTTGCAAACAGTAGCCATAGAGTGATGTCTTGCATGTTGTTCTTGTTGTTGGCCTAAACTGATGGTTAATGTTTGCACAACATGAACATCGCGCGTATTTGGGGCTGTCAAGAATAACAATTATTAAATCACAGGTTTTAATCAGTTATACTGAAATATGATATTCCTTACATTCGACGCTTGGAATTTCTTGAGCTTCAGTAGTGAAACTGATACACGGTTCTTTTAGTGAAAATATCGCCCAGCTTTTACTTTTGAAATTAATTCCATGGAAACACGCTAAACTAATGTTGCAACCGTGAAGTTCCATTGTTCCTCCAAGTACAGTTCCTGTTGATGGTAAAGAGAAGCTTAAACTACCTAATTGGAGGCCAGCGACTTGGGCTAATACACCTTGCCAATGTCTGTGATGACGAGCATCTGACATTGTAACTGCTTGATTTGTGTTCCATGGACCTACAGTATATGATTTGAAATATAATATATTTACAATATACTTGCAATATTTATAATGTAGTTCAGTTACATTAAATAAATGATTTACCTTCGTTAATAGTTTTCTTTTTCTGTGTTCTTTTTCTAAAGCTAGTGTTATTTATTCTTTGATGCTTTGGTTGTAAGGAACTGAATACTCGTTTGCTACTTTTAAATTGTTGACTGAAAAATTCATCTAACTTATAGTACATTTTTAACAAATCCGCTGTTGTCGATTTACTAATCATAATTTGCAATTGATCCCATCCCAAGTCTCCATGCATAAAAATTACCGCAGGCCTAGATTAACATTTAAATGAACGATTGAGAATTTGTTTAATTATAATCTAAAGATTATAAATATATGGATGTAAAATAACCTTCTTGTTGGCATAAAGGCATCCCCACTATTATTACGATTAATTTTCCATTCATCTCTTAATGTAACATCCAATGATGACACTCTGGACATCAACACGCTGGTTCCCATATAATCCAGCCGCAATTCCAATGCAAACAGTTTTAAGCCTACAGTATGATCAGGTTCTATACCAGGTTCTTCTCGAATGTGTACTACAAATATACACACACGTAAATTATATAATTAATTTAGTAAAACTATAATATATTGTATAAAACTGCAATATATTTTTTAAAATAAATTTTAATATCAACAACTTACTATATGTATCAATTTCACTCAATTCAATGATACCGCCAACAATACCACCCTTTGCATCCAAACTGGAACCTCCTAATCCAATGCCTATGTATAAATTCTTATGTCCAGTACTACCTATAGACAATCTTCCATCGGATCTAAAATCCTTTGTCATCCATGTAACATTGCCCATGACATTACCCATGTTCATGTGAACATTCAAACGTGTAAAATTTATGGCAAACAGTACTAATGTTTCCCATGCAGATTCTCTTAATTTAAGTTCTGACGTTTGTTTATCAGAAGTGAAACTCCATCCTCTACCAATATCTAGTGTCAACATATGTATGTCAGTAATAGAAATTAATTGAGTCATTGTCAAAGATTTCGTATGTATAAAAATACCTTTTAATCGTGCATGTTTCGGTATATCACTTTCTAAACTCAATCTTAATTTGTCCCTATTCAAAGTTGGACTTCGTTCTGGAGCACTTTTCGATAATCCATCAGCACCGTGCCGATCGTAATGTTTTAATAGAGAGCTACCCATAACTGCTTCTTCTTGATTTAGAGAAGGACTACCATCACCTTCAGAATATGCGGTGCCTGAACTTAAGTCTCCCAAAAACAATCGACGTACTATACTACGTCTATACCATGCTTTCGGAAAAGCCAAGATTTCGCTTAATCGTCGCATGTCATACTTAAACGAAGCGGATCCGATGTCAACAATTGCTAAAAGTTGCGTAAAGATATTTAATTAATTTCTGATATTTCGTTAATTTTAACTACTATTTAAATATGAGAAAAATAACATATACTAGAAAATCGAATAACTGCACGGCTGGTATCTGATATCTTCTTTGACTGCTCACTTTGAAAATTTAACTTGCGACTTCTCGACATATGAAATTTTACAAATGCAACGTTGATACTTAAAGAATCTTTTCTTTCACTATCAGATAAAGGTGACCATTGTGCTTCTTTCAAACCAGTTTTCTTTCCGCCACCATACGGATGAAAAATATAAACAGAAAAATCAGCAAGACATCCGGTGACTGACAGTCCACCAATCGCTGATCCAGCTTCTTTTCCAGTAGGCTGTGTACCTGGAGATTTGTACTCTCGAAACTCTATAAGTTCTTCTTCTGCTCGCTTGGACGAAAACACTATATCAAGGGACGGCAATTGCAAAATACATTCAACCCGAGAAACCGGTAAACAAGAAAATCTGAAATGACAAAGAATTACAGTAACTAATATTTATAAATAAACCAATAAAATTATTTGAAAATTACCTAAAAGTAGAAGGTTGCATATGAAAATATACTATCACATCAACAGGAAAGCTCGCGTAAACATAATTGCTACTTGCTGCTGTAGCAGCCCAAGATGTACTTTCCACATTTTCCACTGGAAATACTGCATTCGTTTGTGCATTGTTATGAAAATGAGTTTTGCTTGGTATTGGTTCTAACGTTTGTTCCAAAAATTCGAGGATATGTGGACTTATTATAGTTTCTTCTGGTATACTTTGAAGAGTCATCCAAGCAAATAAACTAGCCTTTTTAGTACTAGACTTTTTAAACGCGGATACTGATGAAGGATTAAGCAAGCTATTGTCTGATGATACACGAGGAGATACAGATTCCTCTGGAAGTGTTCTAGATTCATAATGTACCTGTAATAAAATATTAAAAACACATATACACGTATACATGTACGCATAATATATATATTTGTAACAAAATAGTTTTACCTTTACATCTAAGCCAGGAATATGAAAAATTGTTAAATCTACCAAGGGTACATTTGTGTGTTGTAAATATCGTAATCGAGAAGTACTTGTAGTGGATGATTTTTCTTTACTACTTAAGTGTTTTCTGCTACTACTAGGGCTGCTTGGTTGAAATTCAAATGTACCTCCCGAGCACGATCGCTCTTTTTTCATCCTACTCATACTGTAAAAAGAGAATTATTTATATTAAATACATGAAACATACATGGTAAAAATTAAATTAGCTAATAGACATTTACATTTTAATTTCATCTTCTTTTCCTGGATCCTTCGTGTGGAGTACACATTTACCACTATTAATTAGAACTTTTACATCAAGTTCAAAATCTATGTTAGGTTCTTGAGCTTTTTGAGGTGTTATGTATGGTGACGAAGTTGACGAAGATTGTTCTTTTCCAAACGAATCAAGTAGTGGTGCACTATGAAAATTAATTATACAATTAAATTTAACAAATGTGGCATATTACAGTCGTATATTTTATGTTCACACGTACTTTCCTTCCATACTGTCATAACTCGAAGTGTAACTGATATCTCTGCTTTTCTTTCTCAATTCAACTCGTTCTCCGTCTATTTCGATAGTTTCTGGCCATTCTAACTCTCCTTCTGGCAAACTTAATTCAGAACCAGCACTTGGAAGTGACGATTGTCTACGTAAAAATGTCATCATTTAATTTTGTGGCAAAAAGAGTATTAGAATTATTTGATAAACATACCTGCCCATTGTATGTGTGTCACTAAAAGTAACCCGTGGTCCGCCCAGTCCTCTTACACGAAGGGAGGCAGATCTGTAGATAAATATATACTTAAATGAAATTTTTTGGAGAAACTAAAATAAAATTTTCCTAAAATGAAACTATACAATACCGGCTTGGACCACTTCTAGGACTACTTTCGTAACTAGCAGAATTTGCTGAATTGACCTCTAAATTTATATCTTCAGGACTCTCGAGCTGATTTTCAAGTGTTGGCGATGGTACGATAAACGAACGCGATCGATACGTATTTGGTTTCCCTCCTAATCCTAATTTCCCTTTTATTCCTGAAGCTTTAACCGACTGCCTTCTTAACTTTTGAATCATATCTCTACAAAAATTGTTACTCTATTTAATAATATATCGCATTACATTTTATATCGAATTTGTTTAACAATTTTACATTTATACCTCCTGAAATCCTTGAAAACCATAGCTTCTAACTCATGTAGACGCTTCATTTCCTGTTCTATTGTTCCATGAGAAGCACCTAACGATCGTAGATCGTTTATAATTTTTGCCTGTTCATTCATCTCTTTTTCTATTAATTTCGATCTCTTTTTTGCGTCAAGCGTAGGATCAAAAACAAACGCCGGTAGACTATCCGTCCAATTTTTGGATTTCTTCATTAATATACTTTCCTGCAAATATTTAAGATCCGATTAGTAAACAATACACATTACGTAGCTTTAAATAAAACAATTTATAGATGTGGAAAAATAAAAAAGTTACGCATTTTCTCAAAATAGTCTTAACAACTGATATTTAGTTTTTAATACATTACCCGATGAAAGGACCGAGAAAAGTACTATAGGATAAAATAAATATAATTAAACCATACTTTTTTCTTAACCTGGCTAGTACTATTATCTGGTTGATCTGCATCATCGCTATCATAATCTGCAGGTACATGAATATCATCTTCTTCAGAACCAGTCAACATTGTTAATGTGTGCCCAAGTGCCGACAGTTGTTGTCCTACATTAACATCTAAATGAATATCAACACCTTCCATTTGCCATTGTACATTTAAAATCCACTTGGCATTATCTAAAAATAATTGGACTGAATTATCCATTCCTAATAGAAGATTGTCAAAGTAAAATTCTAATCTTATTACCAGATTTGTCTTGTTTTTGTGCAATTGTTCTACTACATACTTCATAAGTGCCTTCAGATACCATACATAAATTCATTATACTACTATCAGATACATCTGGTTTCCAATCATCCAGAGAAGTTTCAAAGTCATCAGCAAATCTTAAGCACAAACCTACAAACCTGTGAAATGCTAACATTTTAGTAATCTGTTCATAACATATGTCAAAAATTGAATAATTAATAATAATATTATACCTTGCTTTACTAACTAAGCTACCGCTGCTACATGCTGATATGCTTGTATTTTCTAATGTCACTACTACAGCACCTCTTGATTCTCCATCGTACAATCCTCTATTCATACTCCAGGTAGGTGGTAAAGGATTAAGTGGTAAACAAATACCCATATCATCTACAGTCAATTGTAAAAACAGTGTCCCCAAATGAGGAGCACTTAATTGACTCGTTATTTGACCAAATGGAACTTTTTCAAATACTTGTTGAGTAGCGGTTAAAACCTCTTTATTTAAATTAGCTCTTTTCTCATTCCAATATTCATACGCGTTTTTATAATTTAGCCAAACAAGTATAGCTTTGTCAATAGCCATTGGTTGAACATATATTAACGGACGCTTTAGTGTAATTAATACTACTTCTTTATCTTCACCTTGTACCATTTCTTCTTGAAAAGCATTTCGTAAACCTACTCTGGTATTAAAAAAAGCAAACTGCTGAAATTCTGGTTCTGCTTCTTCAAATAAAACATTCTTTAACAATTGACCAAGACTTAAATTAATGTCAACTTGTGCTTTCCCAAACAACTTCATGTATGGATTTGGAGTAGCACCAGAAACATTTTGTACTCTGTTAGATAACTGAAGTTCAACAGCTCCAGTTTCCAATCGAACAGCCGAATTCGTTGGAGTTGTTGCAGTCAATTGTATTCTCTATATACGTATAATAAGAAAAATATTAAAAATTCTGAATGACTGATATTCCAATGTAATATTGAAATATACCTTAATGCGAATAATTAATGTGAACAATATTCTTTTTACAGCTGCACTGCTTGGCTCTTCATCTTCTAACCACAAAGGAACTGGCTTCTCTCCGCCATAAACTTTCTGTACAACTTCGTTTACTTCTTTCATAAACACTTTTTGTACGAATACTAGGTGATTAAGAAGATCTGTAGTCAGTGAATGTTCGAAAACGCCAATATCTGCCGTTGCACTAAGATAATTGCCTTGTCTTAATACAACACCATCTATAAATTATAAAAAGACTAATATATCTGTGTTATAAATTATACAGTTTACACCATACAAAAAATGATAAATTACTAACCAGCTAATTTACTATCATTCATGTTACTGTTACCATCTTGTATATATTCCGCTGATACGTGTACTTTGGGAAGTTCAATACTAGCTTCAGAAGGTAAATTTGCTTCAGTCACTTGAAGTTTTGTCGTGAAACTCAGGGTATGATGAGGTAGGTCTATTGTAAATTTAGCTTTACTACCAGTTATGCCGGAACTAGTTACTTGATCCATTTTGTATTGTGCTTGTAAAGATGGTAGCAGAGCTGCCGTTATACTCAAACTTTGAAATATTATATGAAATTGCATTACAATCGGTTCTAACAAGCTAGATACTACTTGTGGTTTTTCTAAATCAACTGATGGTGCTGGTGCATAATGATGTGGACTACCAGGTACTCCTGTATCCACGTCATCCTGTTGTTGACCTCTAGACATTCTTGAAGAAGTTCTTGTTACCCTAAGTTCCTAAACATTTTTTATTATTTAAAATTTTAATAAATCTAATTAATATTACTATCACTATTGGAAACAATAGTATATATTTACTTGTAAAGTCGATGATAATTGTTTACTACCTCTGGTCATCATACCATGTAAAGCTACCGGATGTTGTGGAATATCTATATTGACTGCACCGACAGTTAATAATCCACTGTTCTTATCCTTTTGTCGCCTGCTTATACTCGAATATAAAGCTTGCGACTTGCCCACGGTTACTTTAACAACTGTTTGTTGATTAGGCGCAACACCTTCCAATAGAACTATCATTGTTCTGCCAATTTGACCAGTTAAACTACATTCTAAGCTGGCAGGCCTTGATTTTTTACGACAAGTGAAACTTGCATGAAGACTCGTTATTTCTGCTTCAAGTTTCAATCCACTGAGTGTAGCTAATAATCTGGTCCTGTGTATTCGAGCAACACCAAAAATAACTAATCTCGTTCGTTCTCCCGTAACAATATCTATAATATATTTTTATATATGAGTTATACATAGAATAAATGATAAAATTTATTTTTGAAAAAAGCATTAGAGATTATTAAATTGTTAAATTAATACTAACTCAATTCTCGTGGAAGTGGTACAGGCGTTGAACTATTTTCAGCATTCAATCCTTTTTCAATATCTGCATCTTTCGTTTCATTTAACAATTCATATTTTCGACCACTTTTATAGTGTTCTGAAGCGTCTGCTGGTATAGAAAATCGATGTGTAATAGTTTTAGTCTCTGGCCGAGTAGCGTACAAATCCAACAAGTAATAAATCGTTTTCCAGCATCGTGGCGTTAAATGTGTTGTATCTTTACATTTATCGGGTAGTACACAAAACTTATCTAAACCAGATCCACTTGGACTTGCTCCAAAATTGGGAGTTATTACACCTTCGCTCAAATTAATATATCCTTTCACGCTCTTTCCTGTACTACGTAATTTTTGAGCAAAACTTTGTGGTCGAGAACGAATACTCGCACCAGGTGATATAACTCTCGAAAGATTCGGTTCGAAACTGTTACGAAGTAATGGGACATCTATCTTTTTGCCTTCTAACAGAAGTTGCTCTTGTAAATCAGATGCTGTTGAAAACACAAGAATATTTTAAATTCATGTTTAAGTATATGATTAATAAAAAGTAAACTAAAATAACATTTACTTGAAGATGACCCATTTTTTACTGCTGTATCATTAATAATTAAGTTATTGTTTCGTTTATTTTCTGGTTGTTGTTCTTTTAGTTCCATTTGCGTTTCTTTGACGTTTTGATACATATTACTAATTTGATGCAACAATCTGAGAAGAGGCATGTTGACTTGTTGACTAATGTATCGTATATTTAAACTAAAATTCACAACTGTACTTGTATGTTTCTTTAATTGGCCCCGAGATATGTATAATACAGTTTGCTTTTGAATCATATCATCCACTGTCATATCAGCCATTTTCTTAACATCAATATCAATGCCGATTTTCTCGCATAAAAATGCTGGTGTTTCCGGTGGTATGTCCAAATGAAATTTCGAATTTCCTTTCTTTGCTTGATACTTATTACCTAATACGTTGATTTGTGTTACGTCATCATTTCGAATAATATTCTCAAGTGAATACTTTTTTTACATACCTTTTCTTTTATCTGTTACTTTTCCAAATTCACTGACAACTATATCAATACGCATAGTTTCCATGTTCCCTACTAGAGATAAATTTGATCCTAATGAGTCCAAAGAGGATACATTATTTACATTTCCTGAACCAATGGCAGATAACATTTGTTGTGGCATAACAGATAAGGAAGATAGAAGTGGTTCAAAAATTAAATGTGCATCTAAAAGTCTAAGTGAATCTTTCATAGGATAAAGAAGTGTACCACTATGAACATCAGAATCTTCTGTATCATCTGTTGTCATTGTGTTGATCTTAGAATCCTGAAAACATATAATCATTGTATCAGATATAAATAAAAATAAAAAAGTATAATAAGTAGAACGAAAAATTTTAAAGTGTAATATATAAAATAGAGCATATCAAAGGTGATACATTCAATTCTACAATAAATTTGAAGTACCTTTAACGACTTTTGCTCTGCACGAAAGACCTAAGACGATAGGAATAATGAAAATGTATTGTAAATATTTTGTCTTTAGTTTCTATGTGTAATAGATATTACTTACCCAATTGCCTTTTAAATTGCTTTTATCATTGTCTTTTATAAATTCTTGTTGTTTAGCCATCCAACTATATAGATCTTCACCAGTATTTAGAGGTTTATTAGAATGATGACTCGTAGGAGATGTAACTTGATCTAAGCTTCCAGTGCTATGTTGACTACCATGTCCACCTCCAGAATAGATACTTGGATTAGAACCCAATTGATGAGAATGAGAAATGTGAATTTGCGGTGTCTTCTCTTCTCGCAATGTACCGTAACCTAATGTAAAATTCTACTTGTGTACACATATATTACATATTTTTATTGTATTAGAAAAGCATTTTTAAAACTAAAAATAAAGCACAAAGTAGGGAGCACAAAGGAGTAAACAATACATGTAACTAAAAAGCAATATATGTGAGAAATAAAGAAACTGATGTTTGAAGGAACACATGGTGCTAAAGTTGAGAGGCAAAGCAATACAATCTACAGAGAAAATCAATGATATATGTTCATTACAAACAAAACAGTCTATTCACTATTTATTTCAATTATTTCAATGTTTACTTTGTTTTCTCATTTGAGCCTTACATCAATTCAGTTAGATTAATGTATAGACTGTTTGTATATAGTCTAAAGAATTTTATTACCTTATACTTACTTATATTATTCGGTTCCCGAGTCTGATTGAATAACCCACCACTTGCAAGCAATGGAAAAACAATACTTGCTCTTGTGCTAGCAGGCATTTGCGTGGGTTGTAATGATTTTCCTTTCTTTAGACGAACTACTGGTGGAGAGGGAGAGGTTAATGAATCCGGGCCTGGAACCGGTGTTGCTATAGGGGTTGTGTCTTTTCCCCGAGGAGAACTTACAGGAACCGTCAAACCATCACCACAAATACCTGGTCATTCCATATCAAGCTATGATTTTTGTTTAGAATGCTTATGATTATACTGTTAATATAAATGTCAACTGTTAATGTATTTAAAGACATGTGATGCTCCATTATTTACAAAATGCATTTATTATTAGTTCCATAAAAAGTATTCTAAAATCTATATTTAAAATTTATATAGGAGAAAAAATATATGCACAGACTAGTGAAGACCAATATGCTTAAAAATTTTTTAAATCTTTGACAAGATTTTTTATATATTAAACAATTAGACGAAAATCTCAAAATAGATCACATATAAAAATTAAAAATTTTTCAGATTAATAACAATGAAATAAAATTGAACAAAAAATGTAAACAAAGAAATATTTTATATATAATTTATATGTAAATAGCATAAAAGTCTTTAATAAGAAATTGATGTTATTGTATAAATATTTTACAATCACTAATACTAAAGACACATGATGTGCCTATATGAGAATGCAGATTAAGGTATTAAGCAATTATTAAAATTACAATTTAAAGCAGATGCTAAAAGCTGCAGGTGTATTAAATTGAAGTCCTATAAAATATCAGATAATCTAGCAAAATTATATCAAAAATACTGTACTAAATATCTTTATAAATTATCTTTTTAAATTAGAATTTTGTCTTAATTTAATTTATAATACCTGTACTTTTATCTTGTCCAGTTTTGGCATGTGTATGCTTGTGCATGTGGTCTGTGTGAATTAACATAGCACATTCATCTGTGACTTCCTGATCATCAACTTCTCCTGCGCTACCCTCACCATCAGTCAGCAAATTTTCCTGTACATGAATAAGTCAAGTCCAAAACGTTTATTCAATTCTTTAATGATGAAAACAAAAATTGATTTAATGATAATCAATGATAAACAAAATAAACATCAAAATTAATTTTCAATAAATTATAACAAAATAGTTAATAGATAAAGAATTGTGAGAATAGTTTTAACAAAATTTTGGTTTCAGAAGTTTTGAATTTCACAGGAAGTCTTAAAATTATAACACAATTTTACATATATATACATATGATATTTTCAGTTAAATATTGCATAAGCCCTGAAAAAACCTCCACCATTTATAATTCATATTATCATATAATACTAATTTTATTTACAAGATAAGATAAATTGTACTTCATTGTAAAATATGATTTAAGCACTACATAAGATTATTAAAATATATAACTATATATCATAGTATTCATATGTGAGTTTTGTTAATAAACACATCACATCAAAGTACACACAAAGTATTACATTTAAATAAAGTTAATAGTTATTTGACAAAGCTCATATTTATTAAAGTGAAAATAAATTTTTATATAAAAATAGTATGCGAAGGTACTGTGTTAGAACTACTTTTTTGAATATATTTTTAAAATTCTTACTGAATTTTACATTGCAATCATCCTCCTGTACAGCCTTGCTTATTTGCTGAAAAAAAAATTCTCTACCAAATTATGTTCCCCATAAAACATATTATGAACTTTTGAATGAAAGAGAAAGCTTCCTCTTTGCTGTACTATAATGTTATATAAGAAAATTATAATCTAATAAAGGATAAATGGGAAATATATATTAGAAAAGTTAATGTTAATAATTGTTTAATAAGAAAAATATTAATATAAGAAATATAAAAAGAACAAAGTTATATAAAATTCCATTCCCATTCTATTTTAATTTTTAAAAGGAACATTTAAGTTTAAAAAAAAAAAAAAAACAAATATCGTACCTCATCTGGGTCTGAAACTGCAAATGTGACATTCAATGGTTTAACATGTTTGGTTTTATAATTATGTTCCAATAATAGTGGAGTATAGAGAACATTCTTCCATTGTCTGCTCAATACTATAACTCCCTAGTAATATATGAATAAATACATACGTGTATAAATATGATTTAAAAAAGATTAAAATATATTTATAACTTACTTGTCGAAGTGTTGATAACAAAGGTAAATCTGATTCTTTTAAGTTAGCTTCAATACTTTTTAATTCATTTAATAAAACATAATTTTGTAAAATTGTACATAATTGACAAGATGGATCTTCTTGTAATGTTTTAGCCAATGGAGTTAATCTTCCGTAACGACTCTATAGAACAAATAATCATAAATTTCTTAAATATAATACATTTAGTCCAACATACAATATATACGTAAATACATACCTTAGTGGGCATGTGTGTCGCTTGAACATCTAATGCCTCTGCCATGAGACAAGCAACTATAGCAGTTGATCTTCGATACATAGTTCTAAACATATGTACAATTCGAATTGCAAACTTATTGCTAGGATTCATCCAAGCATTTATTGCAGGTGATGCAGTACTTAATAAATTCCAATCTAATCGAGTATAATCAATTTTTCTTGTTATCGGTGTACGAGGTGGTGCTGCAAAATTAAACCATACTGTTTTTAATTCTATGACACAAGAAACAGTATTTCCATTTCCTGATTTTGACGCGAGACTAGCACATGTTGCACTAGTATTTATTTGTGCTCCGTTATGCAAGTTCGTCGAAGCTGTTTCTGGTTCGGCTGTAGCTGCAGTAGAAGCTATATAATAAATTGTAAATAAATGTAGAGAATAATGTAGATAATGTAAATATTTATTAAGAATCATCGAATTTAAAAAATTAAATATACCAGCTGCATTGTCTAGTTCTTCCTGGCTCTTTACGCTATCCGTATAAAATATTTCAGTGTCAACCTTTTTATTATCGTTTCCATTTTCCCCTTTTTCAAACTGAGATTTTTTTGCCACTTTCAATTTGATACCCTCTAAACCGCATTCAAACATTATAAAACCTAATCTATCTTCTCCGCTACCGAGAGTAAATTCCTCTGTTGCTTGTGGAGATCCAGATTGTTTCTATAATAAATGCATTTCTAATGAATGTTAGACAATACATAGTATTAAATATAAGTTAGAAAGGACGAAAGACATACACTTTTTTCTTTGTCGTCCGTAAATTGAGGTAAATAATAATCAACACATTTTAGTGGAGAAGTTATTCTAGTACATGTGAATAACACTCTTGAATAATGAGCAGGAATTGCTGTTATAACAGCATCTTTTAATATTGATGATTCGTTTCTAAGTCTACGTAATTGTGAATGAGCTTTGCCTATTATGAATTATTTAGATTATTATATGATAATTTAAAATTATTATGGTAATATCTATGCAATTTACCTATATTTAAAGTAACTAAAATTTCTTCTTGCTGTTTCTCAGAAGTTTCTATATACACTGTTTCTCCACTTCCAATATCTGCAACTACAGCAGCAGTTTGGTGTCCAGGTAAAAATGCCTTGCTAATTTTATTAACTTTTTTTTGATTTGGTAATACAGCTGGTTTATGAAACGTTTGAACTACTTCTCGGGCTTGCTTTCCAATATAAAATCTTGCTGTCACATCGTCAAAACAGATGGCGAATAGTGATACACATGTTAAATCGCGAATATTTTCAAGAGCAGAAAAAGATATAATTTCTTCAACAACAGAAGCTTGCAATAAAGTTATATTCATCTAAAATTAAACACTAATACATGTATCAAATTTAATAAAAAATTATATATTGTGAATTATTAATTACCTTTGGTAAAATAATACTGCCCTGTATTTGTGTCATAATACTTTCTTCATAAACGTTTGTTTGTAATGCAATTTTACCTGTTATTAAACATGCATATTAATAAATATAAGTTTATTATATATTATATTACATTATATATTATATTATATTTAAGAGAAACTGAATGTAATAAAACTAACGTTTGTCGTCACCTTGACCATTTTTAATATTTCTTTCAGCAGTGGATCGTTTTGAACTAGTTTGTACTTGACTCCAATAGGATAAACTTTGGTCTTGTTTCAAAATATTAGCATCTTCAACTTTTCCAATGCATTCATGATGAAGATGATTGAGAATTGTTAGTGGATGTAAAGTAGCCAATGTTGGTATGATAGCATCGATAAAACGTTGTAGAGATTCTAGTACCATCGGGCTTAACATGATATCTACATCTCCCTTAAATTTTACGATAACCGTTGTTCGTGATCCATTTTCGTGCTGTACAGTTAATAATTCTTCCTTATTGTGAGTTTTATGGTCTTCTTCTTTTTCCATGAGATTAATAGTTGTACTATCCCAAAGATATGGATGTGTAGGAGTTTTATTACACGAGTTAGCTACAGGCGAACCATCGGACCTTGTAATCATTTTTAGCGAAGTAAATCCTTCCGTAACAGTTTCAAATTTCGGTATGTATCTGCCACCAACATAAACTAATCTACCATCTTCAGTACGTTGAAAAAGTGGTGTAGTAAATGCAGCACCTCCTGCTGGTATTGACGATTGGCTCCAATTTGAACAACGTATCTGAGTTAAATGGCTAACGTAGCTCGACATAAGTAGTGGAGAATCAACAATTGGCTTATTTACTTGCATGTGTAAATTAACAAGCGTAACATCTTCTTGCGACGATACAGCGGATATGAAACTGGTAGAAGAAACGGAATGACTATCCGATGAATCACGTAGTCCACCATTTCCACCATTTGTCTCAGTTTCGTTTTGAAAACTAGTATTTCGATTTACTCTAGGGCTCCGTTTCGTACTTATCGCCTGTGGTTTTGCTCTCTCCAAAGTATGTGCTTTTTCCGATACGGAAACATTTACATTTGTTGAACTTTCTACAATAGATAAGTCTGATGAAAACTTTTTTTTCATACTATCATTGCGATTTAATACTGAGCCAGATCCGATAATAGATTGGCGTAAACTTGATGTGCGACTTCCGCTTAATCCATGACTTGTATCCTCATCAGCAGAATAAAAGGCTTCTGAATGATTTTCTGAAGACATAGATATTGTCCGTTGAACCTGTATAAATTTATAAAAAAAAAAATTCATAAATAAGAAAATTTTTTAAAATGATTTTAAGAAACTAATTTAATCGTATTAAATTCTTAAATCTTACTTCTTGCTTTAATTTTTCTTCAGATTCTGATTTTACGTATAACGAGTGGTGAGAGTCAGAAATGTTGATACTATCAACAGTTTTTACGCTTGTTTGCATTGATTCAGAAAAATTGATTTCAGTAGATACTACCGGTAGTGATTGTGGGCTATTTGATTCAAATGGTTCTACATCTGAAGCGTTGAAATAGTCAACCGCTAATTTAGAATCAGAAACACTACTTTTTGGAGCAGTTTCGATTTCAGGGACACTTAAGATCGATTTGCTGCGTTCTGTATGCAATTTCGAATCTGAATCTAATTTTTGTGGTAACTGTACAACAGGACTCGCATCTACTAATCGTGAATATGGAACGTCTTTTACATTGCTTCCGCTGTAATAAAAAATTAAAAGTTAAAATATTTTTTATAACAAAATAAAAAATTAAATGTCTACTCTATCAAATATGGTAATGATTTCAATATTTATTTTGACTATTATAACATTAAACATAGCATATTAGAAATAAATACTCAAAAATAAGATTATATTTTCTATGTTAAAAAGATAAGCTTGCAAGAAGCAGAAAATTTTTATGGAAACAGAACCCACTGAAACATAAGATATATCAAAACATTACATTGACAAATAGCAGCATAAATGATATATAATTTTTTCTTTAACATTACATAAAATTTTAATTTTAATTTTTATTGTTTGACTAACACATTATAAACTATAACTATTGTTTGATGGACATATTATAAATACACAATTTAGCGCATTTATGCAGTCATGCAATATTCAAAGAAATTAAATCAAAAAGCTATTTCGAAGCTATTCCAAAGATTACCGCATCGATGTATAAGAAAATCTTCTGCCCAGCAGTTTCCGTTCCCCACTGCATGCGAATGGACTTGCTGATGCAGTAATTAATTTTGTACTACTAGTTTCTTCGATACCGGAATCTTTATTATGATCTGTCACAGACCTTGGTCGTTCGACACCCTTTTTCGAAGTTTGCAATCCATCCTGCGTGGCAGTCATTTTTACTCCAGTAATAGGATAATCTTGTAAAGACACATCTTGTAAATTATAAGGTGATGTATGAAATACAAGTTGACCGTTATGCAATATAGACTGTCCAAATCCTTTTTCTTTTCCGGATTCGTTAATTCTAAAACAATATATATAAAATACAATTCGTTGATAAATTAATAATTATCAGAATAATTAACAGATTTCTACCTGTATGCAGCAACATTTATACCATCTTGAAAATCATGATAGCTTGGTTTAAAAAATCTTGGACCATTTCGGTTATTTCCAAAAAATGCACAGCCACCTATACAACCGCATCTTGTTGCTTTTATTCCACTTTCCCGAGGCCATAAGAACCATAAACGTTTGGTAGCTTCATCATGTAGTTTTAAATATTTATTTTGTATTAAATGTAAATTATGTTCAGGAGTTGGAAGAGAAATAGCAGCTTCTAAGATTACTGGCCCTAAAGCTACAGATCCTACTTCTAACCAAATATCAGATCCATCACCTACAATATATAAAGTTACATTATCTTTAACTATATTTTTATATTTTTAAAGTTACATACATTTATTATTTATTATACCTGACATACGACTGCTTGCATTATTGTGTGACCTTCCACTACCAGCTGTATTGGTGTTACTTGTATTGGCAAAATGATCAGCTGCTGATACAAATTGTCTTATTAATATTCTTGGTAATACACCAGTTACTCCAGATTTTACTTGTTGACCATGAAGATTGCAAGTTGATACGCGAATTGGAGATATCCAAGTGTGAATAGTAGTTCCTACTTCTTGAAAATATAAATCAATTGCATCTATGGCTATTCTAGTCATTCTATATTTTATATCTTCAGAACTAGGACACCTGTAATAATATTATAATATTACTATTTTTAAATTCATAAAAATTGCACTTCATACCTATAATGTTTCTCAATATCACTATCAGGACATTGTAAAGGTGGAATACCATGATGACAATGATGTGGTAAATCTGGAGGACGTAAGCTGTTTTCATTATTCTTTACCATTAATAGAAATGTTTCTAAAGATATAATGAGGTGATGCAATTGAGGAGAACTCATTTTTCCAGTCAATTTTCCTAATTGTACTTCAATCAACCATGCATACTCTAAAGTTTCTTGATCTAAACTTCTACCTTCATTACTGAACATTGCATGTCCCCTAACTTGCAATGCACTTAACATTAAATGTCCTTGATTTAAATGACGTTCTTTATTCGAGCGAACGACATTATCAGTAATTAATGCGATCGCTGGTGATAGGAGCAGCTGAAGTTCTGTTTCCTTATATTTCTTTTTCATTTCAAATCCAAATCGTTCCAAAAGTATAACTGGACAAGGGGGGTCATTTTCTCCACAATTTTTTACCAAATGAGCTTGAATATCATGCATAGTAATTCCAACAGTTACTTCTAATGGTCGATAATCTCTTGGATCAAATGGTTTTGATTTTGCATCCTCATCTTCTACAGATTCAACACTGCTATTTTGCACATCTCTGTCTTTGCTTCTCTCTGTACTTATCGATGTAGGATTTGTACGACTCTGCTGCATATCAGTAAATGTTTGATAATCTCCGAACAAATTTTCTTTCAAGTGTATAAAATTTTTTAAAAGTGATCCGTATAAAATTAATATAGATGGACCTATTTCAAGATCTAAACTAACTTTGTCAGGAGCTATGGATTGTGGATCAAACTTTTGACTACCGTTTCTTGTCCACTGAAGACCTGGTGATTTTCTACATCGAGGGATTCTCATTGGAGATAGAAGAATTTCTTCTTTTTCTGGTGTTGTTATATTTGCTTGTGGTGTAGGTCCCAATGGTGGACATGGATGATATGTATAATTGATGCTTAATGCCACAATTGGTACAGACCAACAATCAACCCAACCTGCTCCTTTCTGACAAACATTTCTCCACTTTTTATTTTTGTTCAACTCTGACAAATATATATGTGATCCATCACGTGTCATAATCTTTGCATTTTTATTCAAAGCTAACAGAATTGTACGATTTGTATTGACTTCAGGTAGATAAAAAGAAAGATCAACACTTTCACCTTGAATCCAGAAACGCAAAGGTATTGTAATGGGCAAATAATCCACAAATGGAAGATCAAATGATAGTTCAAAAAATTCCCCGCAAAAAGCAATGTGCGTATTCTCTTGATTCTGTGATGAACAATCAATCCAATTATATTCGTTACATAATGTAATTAACTCAAATTCTTTTAACAATAAATTGAACTTCCACGTATAAGGTACAAAATGTAAAATATCAGGTCTGGCTTTACTGGCCCAATCATTAATCATATCTTGAAAGAATTCTTTGTGCGAATAAACTAAGTTAGCTGTGGCTTTGCACCCAGTTAAATTCAACATCCATTCTTGATGATCATTCCACTTTATTGGATAATGACATTTAACACCAAATTCCAACGTTTCGCTTTCAACTAAACTTCGATATTGCAAACTTGTAGTGGCTTCTAGATGTAACAATTGACCTGTTATTTTTGTAGTATATCCATCTTGCAAAACTATCCATGGCATAGTAATTTCCAGATATGATCCAGGCCCTACATTAATATGAACTGCATTTGTTTCCCTGTTTTTGCTAAAGAGTATATCAATTGTAGCTTCATTCAATGTCGATAATCTTATATCAAACGATTGAACTTGTCTTTTCTCTCCAGTAACAGGAGTTTTTGTAACTTTTAGTGGTTGATAATCATTAGGGAAAAAGAATTTAAATAAATGTTCTCTTTGTCGATCAGCCCATGGTCCATAACTGAAATCAGTGCCTTTTCCACATTTAATATCAATGCCCCAGATCGGCGGCATAGCTTCAACCATATCCCCATTTACTAATTGAATCATTTGTGGATGTTCAGGAACAAATCCAGGTTCATCCATGTAATAATATACTTCTATGTTGTTCGAGCTCAATATAACAAATCCTTCGCCCATATACCTAGGTGGATCATCTACCATTCCAGTATACTTTGGACTAGGTGCTAAAATAACTTTGAAATTCTCTGCTTTACATTTTGTGAAATGCATGAAATGATCATATCGAGATGCTGCCGGTTTTGTAGAATATACAAAATGCGCTTCTTCCACGGTTATTGATAAGGTCGTTGGTATTAACCGATTACCAAATACCAATCTCCCCTAAAATGATAGAGATAAAATAATAGTAACGTGAGAAATATATTGAAAAATGACAAATGATTTATGTACTAACTGTGCAAACATCCAATTTAATAACAGGTATTAAATCTCTCCATGTTCGAGCTAAAACATGAGCTTCTTTTTTCCTAATATTATCAACATGACGTGAAACATCTATTGTGTTTATTTGTTGACGTGTTTCATGAATAGTATTACTAAATGATTCTCCATCATGATCATCACTATTAACATTATGATTTTCCTCGTCAGGAAACATTTGTGGTGTAAGACCAAATATTTTTTCTAATTGTGCATATAGTTGACAGCGATTATAAACATGCAATTCAAAGCCATTTAACATAACAGAAAGTCGTGTATCAGAATGTGAAAGATCTAGAAAAAAATTTTTTTTAAATTTTAACACAAATTTATGTATTATAATTTCAACCAAATATTATATATTTTATATATTTAAATTACCTTCAGATACATCTTTGGGAACATAACTTCTCCACCATCTAAATATAAGCCATCCATCCTGTACTCTAATGCTATAATCTGTTGTGATATAAACTATATCCCTAAACATTATTTTTCCACTTAATACACTTAAAGTAAAAGAACCTAAAAATAAATAATATGTATTACTATTTATAAATGTATGTACATATTAATATATGTATATATGTCTATAAATATATGTTCTTCAAAGACTCACCTACTTTAACATATCCATCTCTAAAAAAAAATCGATTTAATAATTTTGTTACTATATAACCGATGACTCTGCTATTGTAATAAGCTATATAAATAATCCATGAAATAGCAGACACTAATGAGCAAAGTAAATATATAAAACTACTATCCATTTTAAGGTCTTCAAGGATGACATGATCGGAATAGTTCCAAAAGGCTGGTTCAATTCCAGAGAAAGATGGAACTGTAACATTGTACAGTTCGTTCTCCTCCATGATGATGTTGTTTCTTTATTGCAGAATCAAGAAATATTAGTCATTTTGTAATTAATCACTGAAATTATAAAACAAATAAACATCTTTATCCTATATGCTTGAAGTATTTTATTTGGAATTTTAAAAATCAAATTCATAATTTATGATAATTTTTCATTGTTCGATCGTTACTTAAATTCAAAAATTATTATTCAATTAAAATCGAAAATATAAAAAGAAATAGTTTGTAAACATAACCTAATCAACTATATTTAAAAAAGTGTTAGATAATTTCTTCAACAATTAGTTCAAAAATATTACTTCATTGTACTTAATATCTCATTTTTTATGACAATAATAATAAATTATTATCTATTAATTAAAGTAAAAGAAAAAAATAAAATAAGTTTGTTATCAATATAAAATATTGAGTCATAAAAATTAAAAGGGAAAATACTTTGTTATACATTTATTGATACTTCAAATTATTCAAATAACTATACACTTATCATGAAAGCAAAATATCTATACCTATGTGTGTATGTATATATACATATATATACATACATATCATATATATATATATATACACAGATATATAAGTGACTGCACATTTTAAAAAGTACTTTATGGATAAATACTAAGAAAAATTAATTTATTCAATTAATTTACCTTTATTCGATACTTATATAAGGATTACATTCAATTTTTGTTGTGTCATTCATGGTTTTATGTTTATCAGCACATCAGTTTTAATAGATGTCACACAACTGTCATCGAAAGACAGCAACATACATAACCACACCATAGTTGACTACTGGCACTAACTATAGATTTAGTAACGATACCATAGATGAGATACAGGATAGATTTAAATCCTGTGGAATTTTACGTAACATTCTAAAATTTCTATTTTCAAAAATTTAACATAGTTTTATCTATGTTCTTTGTAAATATAAAAATTAGATTCAGCTTAATAATTGAAAGCGAGGAAAGCAATTTCCAAAAAAAATTGAATTTTTAAAGATTTAATATTAATCGAATTGAATCATCTTCATCGATATAATAAAAATAAATGAAATAAATAGCTTATGATATACCTGATATTAATTTCAATCACTATGATTGTTTTCTACAGTGGATCGATAATGTTGGAAATGACATAAAAATAGAAAGAAGTTTTGTAAAGTCTATCTTATATTTTATCTATGGACGTGTAACAGTGCGCGGTTAAATAGATTTGAATTAAAAAACAATTAATTTTTCTATACATTTTTATTTATTTTTTTATTTTAGTGGTTTGTGAAGTTTTCTTCATATTTGTTTAGTTCCCACTTTTCTCTACTCCAAAATAGTATGCGATGAATTAAATGTTTGGAGAAGATATGAACAACGGTTTAAATAACCTAAATTTCATTCGTCTTTATTAAAATTTTTAATTTATATTACATTATAATGGAAACAATTAAAAATCATTTTTATAATCCTATTAAGATTTATATAGTAAGTGATACATATTCTGCTTTTTATTTTTATTACATTTATTTCAAGATTCAATACTATATCATATTTATATTAAATTTTCAGTTTGATGTAGATGTTCTATGTAATTTCAATTAAATTTCTTCTTCCTATGTTTATAATATATTTTATTGCGAATGTAATTGATAAAATATTATAATTATGGAAAAGTCTACAGACATATTTGCATGGACTCATCAATTGCAATGCCCACCAATGATATTCAATGCCTCAGTGAAACAAACGTTTGTATTGTTTTGTTTCTAATAATAATTATGTTTTATAACTTTATACCATGATCATGATTATGCATTTCAAATGTAAATTATATATTATTTAATAGATTATATACAGGACTTGTTGGATTGATGTGGGATGATTTGGCTGAAGTTATATTTAATGCTAAAGAAGCAAAAACAATAAGAAAAAATGTCCTATTGTATCATTTAAAACATAAAACATCTAATAAAATTGTCCAATATATGAAGAATTTATCACAATTGAAATCAAGTAAAAGTGATTTAAGAGATCAAATATGTAAATTAGAGGAAGAATACGAGCGACAAGAATTTAAAGTTAAACAAAAAGGTATATGTTATTTATAAAAATATGACAAAATATGTATATAACAAAATATAACAAAATATGTATATTTAACTGATATTTTTATTTAGTTCAAAAATTGAAAGAAATTTCATCCAAGCGTTCTGAAATAAGAGCAAGAAGAGATTTACTTCAGATGAAACATGATCAAACTCAAACACAACTTCATGATTGTAATGATATGAGATTAATTTGTCAACATTTAATGCCACAAACTTGCAAAGATCTAGATCATAAAGTACTGATGGAAATGTTAGATGTAGTAACAAGTCTTTGGACTGGAGCTGATAAAAAACAAGTATATACTTATATATTATTTGAGTTAATAATAACTGTAGCTATATTATTCAGATTAATTCGTAGGTATGGAATACAGTATCAAGTAATCTTAATCACATTGAAATACCTACATTATGGCATTATTTATATCAAAGTTTAACAGAAGATGTAGATACATTAACTAAATCAGAAACTATAAAATCAATGGAATCAAATGAAAAACATATAAATGTTGGTATTGCCAGACTATATGGACAACATATTTGTATGGTCTCTAAACGATTATTGTATAATGCAAGAACAAATAACCATCAACAAAATGTTTTAGAATTTATAGAAAAAATCGAGGTATGTTAAATATTAGTTAAGTATTAAAAAACAACTTTGTTAAATTTAATTTTGATTTTAGACAGCTTCAAATAATTCTGCAGATATAAGTGAGTGGTTAGCATTAGTATTAGAAGTTCATAAATTAGAAAATGAACAAAGAAGTTTACAAAAAGAAATTGATAAAATTCGAGATGATCTGTATGAAAATAATATATTTTCATTTAATCTAACACAACTAATTTTGGAGATTCAAAACACTGATGCTGAAATTGTATGTTAACATTTTTTAATTATTGTAATGTGTGTATACATACACATAATTATTTTTGCATTAATTTTAGACAAAATATATACAAGACATACAACAATCATTAAATCTTTTGAAATCTGCACCAACGTTTCTTATAAAAACAAAAGAAAAAATAAATTTGGAATTACAAAAAATAGTAACAATGCAAGCCGATGGGTATGATTGTACAATGTTAAAAAATGATTTAACTACTGAATTGGATATATTTCATGAGGTTTTAGATCTTAATGCTTTAAAAAAAGTTATGTTAAAAGGAGAAGTTGCAGTATATAGGTGAAATTACTTTTGTAAAAATTTAATACTAAAAACTTTATAATTCATTTATACATTACGTAAATGTTTCAGGCATACAAAAAGTTGTTTCAGTGAAGCTTCTGTTTCAATTACTAATTCTCAAATTTCAAATCTTGCATCATATTTTCCATTGATTCAAATACCAGTATACTCTTTAGTAGAATGTTACAAAAATCTAATTTCAATGTTTATGTATAAAAAATTCGAATCTTTAGAAACTGAAGAAAGTCCAAATACGTCTCATTTACCAATGATAACGTATGAAGAAAATAATTATAATACACTTGAACTTTTGAAATTATCACAAAACATCATTACGAAAACGAGGATAGAAATTGATGAATTTCATAAAATTCTAAATGATTGGTAGGTATATAAATTACAATTATTATTTCTATACATGTGAATATTAATTTTTATTTTATTATTAATAGGGTGAATCAACCTGTTCAAAAAGTAATGGAAATTATTGAAAAAACTGTAGATGATGCAACCTTTCCAGAGTGGGTTGAACGTTATGATGTATTATTATATATGTTGCAAAATTCCACATAATTGTGTTTATAATTGTATTCTATTTTTTGTAATAAACTGTTTTTATAACAAAACTACAATAAAATAATAAAATAATTTTTATGTACATAAACTTTTTTTATTAAATTTTGTAATATTAAAAATATACTTATATATTATTAT